TATAACTCCAACATTGCATGGATGCCCCATGACCTGCCAGTCATGCTGGTGTGACTGCTATTACAGGTATTCTAACCCAATCATTAGTAACAGTTGGCATAATATGAATATTATATAGATGATTATCCAAATTTTCGCTGTCGATGGGATTTGAATACTCAACCTACTACTTGGAGAGTTGACAACCTGACCACTTCACTAGATCACTACACTCTTGATATAGTTTATTTAAAATTTGGATTTATATATAAAAACATCAAATTTTTATATCTAATTAACCTATTAAGTAATTTAGTTTTACTAGTTCTTGATGTTTATGCTGTACATTATCGAGAAGGAGACTAACCAGCTTACAAGAAGACATGCATGTGTTGTTGGTCTGATCTTTTTCTTCAATTCAATCAAAAAAAAATTATAAGTATGCTTTTTTAATATTTTTTTCTAATATTTTTTACTAGATGAAAACTGGTTATTCAATACTTGATATGATTAATAATCATTTGGCTTCACTTAATGATTATTTTGTAGAAAATACTTATAGTATTATTCGAAGATGTACTACCAAGTTTCTTATTAGTAAATAGTTATGAAAGGAAACATACTTCATTTTTAAGCAATAATGTAATAATACTTTTCAATAAAATTTTGTTTATTTAATGAAATATCTATATATATTAAAACAATTAAATATACTTTCTAATAAGTAATTTGTGTAGCTTTTAGAAGCATTTGACAAAATGTATTGAAATTATGACAAACAGTCTGTTGTTAAATCTTCAACTGACATATTAGTATATATTAACTGTTCTTGCTGAATTATAAAGTAACAGATTGTCATCTTTCAAGAGGTTTCATTAGTTTTAAGAAACCAAATATGTCTATTTTATGTGATTTAATTTATTGTGATCAAGCTCATGATCTACATAATGACAGCATTTTGGCATGTGGGCATGGCTATCATACTTATTGCTTGCAAATGTTATAATTTAAATAATTTGATTGGTTATTATTTCATGTGACATTGATTATTTTGATTAAACAATTAAAATCAGTAATTTTTGGCAAATCTGAAATTTTGTGTAACAATAAACGTTCCCTCCTGTTGGTTTAAGCTGCAGATAAATATGTTTAAGCTTTTATTTTTATATATAACATTTTTAATACTTAGCAATATAGTTTTATAGTTAATGGTTTAATGGTTAGTCCTGACTACAAGTATTGATCTCAACTATAGCATATATAATACTTCTTTTTATAACCAGAAACTTTATATAGTTACTACTTAATAACTATAAATAAAAATAGAAGCAAGGCTTCATCTTAATACCAAAAAAAAAAAACCTAACAAGCTAACTAACAATGTTATTAAAATTTTTTAAAAAAAAAATTTGTTTAAACAAATTAATATTTTAAACCAAGTTTAAAGTTATTTTGTTAAAAACTTATTTATTTTTACTCAAGCAAAAAAAAAAAAACTATGCAAATATTATACAATTTAAAAAGTTTTCTGTAGAAAAAACTATTACAAATTACTGTTTGCAACCATGTATATTATTTAAATAATATTAATTTTTTTTATTTAATGTTTACACATCTGTTCAAAGAATCATATATACAAAATTTTGATTCTGTATGTTTCATACAATCTACATAGCGAAAAATAATTACTGCTCTATATATCTCTAACCAGAGATGTCTAAAAAAACTTTTTGAAATATTACATGCTAATACTGATTAGTAAAATTCTTTTTTAAAAATTTCAAAAAACTTTTAAATATAGAATAAATGTATTCGTAACAACCGGTTACATGTAACAACCTTGTATTAGCCAATAGTAGTTAGAGTTAAGGTTTGGGTTTTATTGGCTTTACTAGCTAAGTTGTTACGAATAAGCATGTAGCATTGGGATGTGTGATACGTATACTACGATGTAAATTCATTAATAAAATTTTTTGATAGCAAAATTTAAATAGATGCAAAGTCCTAATGGTTCGATGGTTTTGGATGAAATTTTGCAGACCATTATTGCATCTTTACAAACAAAACTATAGAGCCACTTCTTTAAAGAAAAATCTAAATTAAGTTCTTGTTTTAGCACATTAAAAATTTTTCATGTTTAAATAAAAGAAATGACTATAGTTTTGTTTGTAAAGATGTAATGGTGATCTTTGCAAAATTTATCCAAAACTATCGAACCATTAGGACTAAATTTTGCAATAATTATTATAAAATTATTACCTATCGATCACTATTGAAAAATCTTAATGAATTTTATTATATAACCACATATAGTTTTGATTTACATGCGTAATATATCGCACACCCCAATGTAGCATATTATTACAATTAGATTCATCTATTTAAATTTTTAAAAAAATAAATCAAATAAATTTATATTTCTTGTCTAAAATTGCTTACAGTTTAAGAAATAAAAAACATTTAGATGTATAATAAATTTGCTCAAGAAAAACTTTTTATTAGAGCACGAAAAAAAAATGTTTTTTCTGAAAAATACAGACTAATAATTACTAATAATCAATAGTTTAAATAAAAAATTATTATATATTTTCCAATTTCGATTCCCAGCTCCTAATTTATTAAAAGTTTTAATGTACAATTTAAAGGGGAGTTTGGAGAGGGGAAATACTTAGTAATAATTTTTTTTGTATCGTACACAATTAAGAAAAAAAATAAAATAAAAAAAATAAAAAATAAAATTTGATCGAAGAATTAAAGCGATCTAGCGCCCTCTGTGTTTTCGTAAATTTGAAATGATAGAAAAAAAATGAAGATGGGTTGGTAATCTACCAACAGCGTAAAGAATTATTAAATGAACTTTTTTTTTTTTTTTTTACAAATCCATAGTTCTTAATCACCCCAACGATTAACAGAAAAAAAACACCAATATTTGCAGGTAATGAATACCTTGAAGCGTTCGACTCTAGTAAACATCAACATACTCACATACTAGCTTGTATTCCATTCGGTGATGGTGGTAATTTATCTAGTTTTTTGTCTTTAAGTTTTTTCTCACGTTTCCTTTCTTCTTTTTCGGCTTTTTTATCTTTCTTGATTGCAGCATTATGTTCTTTACCGCTTTCTTCGACCGTCACTCCTAAAGAGGTAGATTTTTTATCATCTTTATCGTCTTTCTTATCTTTACGCCAAAATAATGCCGTTTTTTCCGGTTTTTCACCTGAATGTGATTTTTCATGTGAATGATTGGAACCATCTTCATTGCCCTTTGAATTATTACTATCTTGATCAGCGTGGGATTTGCGTTTATCTGTGGTATTTTTCCACAATTGCAATCGATCGGAAAATGAAGGTTCTCTTATTGGATGCCGCCGTGGTTCATCATTATTTGTTACAGAAGTATTATTATTATCTATTGTGCCATTTACAGTAGTTGGTACATCATTAACTAACGAATCATTGGCCTCAATAGGTATATCCAATTCCGTTGAAGAAGCACTTGAACCAGTAGCATTGTTATTAGGCCAAACAGAGTTCGATAAACCATTAACATTTTGATCCAGATCGCAAGCCTGATAAAAAAGCACGTAACCCGACCCAGTTCCTGGACTATCCCCAAAATATTTTTGGATTTCAGCTTCATCTACAGGCTATCAACGAGGCATAAAAAATATACAATTACTTTGTGTATAAACTTAAGTAAATTATAAATTATTTAATTTGTTTCTTACGTCAACGTTTTCATCATCGAATAAAAGCCATTGCTCCATACTTTTCACTAATGCTACATAGTGACCATGGTATGGTCCACTACAAACAAGAAAATGTCAACATTGCAGGAAATAAATACAACAAGGTAAATCAATTTAAATTCACCTTCCAATATGCACACAAATCGCGTATAGTTCATAAAGACGGTCCGGATCTTCAATATCATCACACTAATCAAAATAAATTGCTTAGAACAAGGTATTATCTTTTTTTTTTTTGTAAAAAAATAACTTACAGTATCAAATAATCGTAATTCAAAAGGAAATACTACTCTATATGATAATTTAATATATCTTTGTAATTTATCCTGAAATTTGAAACGTTTCAAGTGAAGTGCTAATACATTAGGCAGTTTTTTTATTTTCATTCTGGTTGAATAGACGAAATAAATAATTATTATAAAATGATATAGATATATATATGTATATATTACAATTCAAAATATTAAAGATTAACATACCTCTTTTCTGCTTCTTGATAACTGCAACAAACATCGCAAAAAAATTTGTCTTTATGACATAACATTTCACATGCAGAAAATTGTCGTAAACATGACGTGACAGAAGAATTCTGTTCGATATCAATGGATAGATCAAGAAAGGATTCGTCTCGGCTAGTGACCTAAACATTATATAGCGATATTGAAAAATAACATTTGTATGAACTAGAATACAATTAATGATAATGAATACATACAGTTTCACAAGTTAGACATTTAGTTTCATTGGTTAACGTTCCTTCAAAAAGTTGATGTACCCAAGTGGTCTTTGGAGATGTACCCGAATTTATTTCAGAACTTTTAGAAGAATTTTCATCTAGTGAGGTAATTAATATAAATATATTATAAATATATTATAATACATCATAATGACATAAATTGTAATAATAATGGACAAAATGATATACAACCGTCATCACTTCCATGTGTATGTACACCATTAGTCGTAAATTTAGATTTATCGTTAATGTTACAGAATAGTATCTGTTCTCGTTCAGAAATTTGTTCGGAAAGTTTTTTCTGCTGTTCCATAACATTTTCAGCGATAGTGTTTAAGACGTAATTTAAGAATTCATGAGCATCTTGGTGCATTGTTGACCGGAAAAATTCTAATGATAATGATATGCAAAAGAGGATTTAATGTAAACAACAAATCAAAAAACTTTATAAAAATAAAAATTACCATTTTCTTTTTTTAATTTTGTGATGAAATTATTTGGCGCTAAAACACCGGTTCGTTTTTTCTGAGAGCTTATTTTAAAAAACAACTCCTTCAAAGCACCAAATAAAGTATTTTCAATGGCTTGAGTCGATGCAAGCGTTGAATCGCTATTAACTGTGAAAGTTTATAATGAATATAAATAAAAATTTTATTGATTTTTATGAACAATAAAAATTATAAAACATGCCTTTGATATCACCATTGACGTTAGGATCTTTTTTAGAATTTGTGTTAGATGGTTGTTGATTTTGTGAGGACAAGGATTGCATGGTCGACCCCACTGACATATTGGGAAAATTAATGACGCATTCCCGAAAAGGTTTGCAGAAATAAAGAGCCTGTAAAATCGAATTGCAATAACTGCATTCAAAGAATTGAAAGATATCAATAATACTTGTAAAAGATTCGTAAGAAATTTCTTAGTGGATAAAAAGTTTATGTACCAAGTATTTCCGAACTGGAAAAAAGCCAAATTCAACAAAAAAAAAAAAAGGTAAAAAGAGTCAACACAGATTTTTTTGCGATTGATAAAGATTTCACTAACTATAGTAGAATTATTACATTTTCTAAACCGAAATATTTTTCAGAGCTAGCACTCCATGCTTCGCTTGTCGGCGGTTTTCCGGAGGGGCCCTAAGATTAAACAATCGCCAGAAATAAAAGAGATTAGCGGTACCTATCGCCAAAGTGATCATAAAGCTACAGTTCACCCAATTTACCTACATACCAGTTACAGGGAGGACAAGTAAACCTTAGAAAAAAAAAGCAAAAAAAAAACATACCATTCCGATCCACCTTAGTAGTGACATTATTAATATTAATATTAATTTTTTTTATCTTTCGTAGGTTAAGCTTGAACAAAGCTTCGAATTTTTATAAAAAATTCGGTTCAAAGACCAACCATAATAAGTAGGAATCAGCAGTATAATTTCAAATTGGCCATGAATCAAATCTTGATTGGACAGATCAGAAGTGACCAAATTTCTATCGCGCTATTGACAGATCCAAAGAACCGGGGCAATCACATAAATGTAAAATCCACATGGCAATCAAGTATATAAATATAGCTTGGACGATATTTTAAATTATAAGAATCGAATTTTCTTGTTATTATAATTTCTTATAAAATAAACGGTAAATTACAACAGATGGATAATAAATTTATAAATTTTGCGTTACTAATTGAATAATTCGTGCATGTAAACATGGAAACCACGGAAAAACAACGGAATATGGGGAGCATGGCGGTATTCAACGGAAGAAGCTTTGACCAGATAAATAAAATCTTCGATCAATATGCGCCTTAAATTTATTCATGAAATACAAAGCATTTCTTTTTGAGTTTAAAATTATTCTTTTTACGGAATGCATGATTTTACTAATTGAAGCGGAGTCTATTTAATTTGATTGGATATTCGTTATAAAGGAATAGTTAAACTTTGATTCCCAATATGCACATTTAACTGATAAATTAGGTAAAAGTTGATTTACATACTATTTTTTGGGAGGAGTTTCTAGTTCATGTTGAACGACGGCCGAGCTTCAATACATGAATGCCATGTCCATCTAATTTTGAATTAGAACAATGTAACGAATTATGTAAAATTTGTAAAATTTAATTTGATTACGCAAGTGAAATTGGGTACCAAAGATGCTCTATCTTCAAAACGGTTGTTTCAAACCTAGTTCTCAAATTCAATATAGAATAATTATCATATTTATTATAACATGGGACTATTAATCGCTCATTGAACAATTTCGCTCCTCAAGTAAGCTTGCCTTCCGGACTGTAATAATACTATTGATTTTCAAGTTTGACTTTATGTATAGAATTCTTTTTTTTTTTGCTTAACCATATGTAAAATTTATTCCGAAACAAGTCATTCGCAAAGATCTTGCTCCGGACCTATAAGGAATAGTCCAGATTTGCAAGACATGAAGTGTACTCTCCTATGAAAAATGATAGGATTGTTGAGTAACACCATAAAAAAAACAAATAAATAGTGTACTGCGATCGTACGTATATACTTTATAATATGGCAAACTAAGTTCTTCGAGAAGCTAATTTTTGTATGCCGCATGAACGATAGAATTATTATACATTCAGAACGTTAAATATACAGACTCTTATAAACATTTGCTCTTCCATGTTTCAACAGTATAGAGCGTGTTATTTATCATCTTTATGTCGTAAAATTAATACGTAATCACTTTTTTTTAACAAAGTCGTTACTGTTACTTTATTTGTAATCAATAATAGTACTATTATATTTGGCATGAAACCTGTTTTTTATGCGCGAATGTGATTGAAAGCTTAAATTTATTAGACGCTGTACAACAATTCTTTTTTATCGATCACAGATTAGTATACTAATAAATAAATGTGGCGGATTAAAATGAAATTTTGTGCAGTGTAAAATAGACAAGCCACCGAAAAATACAAAATTTTGGGGTCAGCTCTGATGGTATAATTTACAGTATATTAAACAAGTTTAGAAGGTTAATCATTTTAATCCGATTTCATTATGATCCGTGCCAATAAATAACTACATTATATGTCCGAAACATGGTAAACAAAATAGTTTATTAAGTTTGATACCTTTTAATTAATTTTATTTTATTCAAATACCAATTTGCACTATATTTCACTTTATTTTAATATAAAGTTACTCGATATAGCCTTGAAATTTGGTCACACATCGTAGGGCGTTAAATTGCGAATCCTAAGATTTAATATTTTTTACAAAGCAATCTTCAAATTCCAAGTCTGAATGCATTGAAGTTGGGCTAGCATCAAGCAATACTAACCACAAGGTTAGAATAACTTACCTGACAATGTAACTTATGATGCTCTCTGACATCTAGGTTAATAAGTCAGTGTTTAATTTTTAATTAGTATTTATTTTTTTAATGTTAAGGTGAGTACATGTGACTCAGGATTTTATTAGTAGTATTAGTTGGCCAGCATCTGTTGATATAACAGCACATAAGTGATTATAGAAAAAGTGTACAACTAGTTACTTATACAACTTTAGTTATTGTCTAATTTAAGTAGTTTGTCTAAAAGTTTTACACTAGTTGCTATACCTAGAACCTACCTGTAGGTCTTCTATTTAAACATTCTAATCCTGTATTTATCACATCTTACCAATAATTTTGGTAAACTGATGAAGATATATCATGATTATTAAGTCATATTTAATTTTGTACTAAACCTATTAGTATATTCTGTATTTTATACTTACAGCTTACCCAGTATTGCTTTGGACTAAACCATTACTTGTAGTTAGGGTTAATCATTAAACCATTATATTCTTATAAGATTTATTCAAAACCCTAATACTCATCTTTCTGATATCTTCTTTATTATCTTCTACTAACTGTTATTCAGGATTGATAGAACTTCTTGAACTTCTAATTCAGATGATTTAGTATAGTATACCTTAGTATCTTTTTTCTTTGGTGATTCTAGTAGCCTAGTTGCTCATATGTTTTTCTATACATCTTGTTATTTAGTTTATCTACTTATTCTATTAGAAGTGTTTCATAGCCTTTTATTAGTCTAACAATATTGTTAAATGTTTTGTATTATCTCTTTACTCTGGATTTCCAAATAAGTTTCTAACTCTTCAGTTTTTTTACTTTTTATATTCAATAGTCTTATTATAAGTTTGCACCAAAGTCTTATATAATATTGATTATTAACATTTCTTTATATATATATAATATTATACTTAATATAAATGTTCTAAGCTTCTATTTAAGATAATACAATTGAAGATTACAGATACATTAATCCAACTGATCAACAGAGATAATTACTATAATACAAACCTATTTTTCAAAATTGTCATCTATGGGATTTGAACTCTAGACCTGCTATTTAAGGATTAATAACTTGATTATTTTACTAAATTATCATATTTTTATTTTAATTAGTATTTATAAACAATATAAAATCCAATTTAATATACAAAAAAAACTAATATATTAGAACATTATTATAAAATAAATTTTAGCATAGTATATATATATATATTTTTTTTAATGTTAAAGTTCCTGCTTTTGAAGATTGATTTTTTTATTCAAGTATTTAGACACAGATGCCTTCAAGAGTTTCCATATATAGGAGATTACAACTAGCTACATGTGCACTTTTGGTGCCTAATTTAAGTAGTTTGCTTATATATTACTATATAGGTTCTACACTAGATGCCATACCTGCAAGCCAACTACAGGTTTTGTCTATTTAAACCTTTTGAATATGTAATCTGATTTGTGATTACAGGAATATCTTCTGGGCTATACCTATTCAAAATACCTAATGCTTTTGAGACCCTTAGAACTAGTTTATCCTCAACAGGAAACTTACTAGAATCTTCTATATTTTATACACAGTTGATCTAGTTTTATGCAACATACTATAGTTATCTAACACTTGCAGTCATGGGGATTATCTGTTTAATTACTACATTACACTATTTTTACCTTTGTAAAGTTCACTAGAACCTCAGTATCTATCATCACAATATCTTCTTCATCATTTCTTACTAATTGTTACTTAGGACTAACAGAACTTTCCTAACTTTCAATTCAGATAGCTCGGTATAATATACTTATGTATCCTTTTCCTCTAACAATTCTGACAGTCTGGTTGCTCATATGCTTCTCTATATATCTTGATATCTGGTTTATCTGCCTATTCCTTTGGGAGTATTTTATAGACTTTCATCAGTTTAACTGTATCGTCAAAAGTTCATGCTACCTCTTTGCTTAGAAATTTTCAAGTAGGCTTCTAACTCTTTGGTTCCTTAGTTTACTGTACTTGGTAGTCTTATCATAGGTTTGCACTAAAGTCTTATGTAATACTAGTTATTAATATTCCTTTATATATATATAATGTTACACTTGGCATAGATGCCCTAAGCTCTCATTTGAGATAATACAACTTAAGGTTACAGATACACAAATTTAACTGAACATTAAAAGACAGTTTGTTATAATACAGGTTAATTTCCAAATTTCATTGTAGATGAGATTTGAATCTTAGACTTGCCACTTGGAAGATGACAACCCAACTACTATACTAGGATCACCATCCTTAGCATAGTATATTATATAATAATATTAGTAATTATATATATATTTATTATTGTATTTTGTATTTTATATTATATTTATTATTAGTTATTAGTTAGTTTTTTTTTTTTTTAGTATTAAGGAGTTATTAGTTAGTTAATAGTTATATTATATAGTAGATAGATAAAAGAATCTTAATTAACTATTA